ACCTCTCCTATCCAAAAAAAAAAAAAAAAAAAAAAAGAAGAAACCTAATATCTGTCTAACCATCGTATTTTTCTTCGCAGTTCGTCGTACTCGCCGCTTTCGTGGCTGCCGCCAACGCTGGACTTCTGCGCACGGCAGAGCCCTTGGCTTACTCGGCGCCAGTTGCAGTGGCTGCCGCCCCCGTGGCCAAAGCTGTGGTAGCCAAGGCGGTCGACGCCGACTACGACCCCCATCCTCAATACAGCTACGCTTACGACGTGCACGACAGTTTGACCGGCGACGCCAAGAGCCAGCAGGAGACACGCGACGGAGACGTCGTCCAAGGCAGCTACTCCCTCATCGAGGCTGACGGCACGAAACGCACCGTCGATTACGTCGCTGATCCAGTAAATGGATTCAACGCTGTCGTCCACAAAGAAGCTCCCGCCGTCGCTGTCAAGGCAGTCGCCGCAGCTCCAGTTGCCGCCGTGAAGACCATCGCGCACGCCGCTCCTCTGGCCTACGCGTCTGCCCCCATCGCTCATGCTCCTCTCGCCTACGCCGCCCCAGTTGCCAAGGTCGCCGCTCCTCTAGCCGTTGCTCACGCTGCTCCTGTAGCCGTTGCTCACGCTGCACCGTTGGCATACTCGGCGCATCCTGCCTCGTTGGCATACTCGGCGCATCCTGCCTCGTTGGCATACTCGGCGCATCCTGCCTCGTTGGCCTATTCAGCACACCCTGCACAGATCGCATACGCAGCTCACGCAGCCCCCATCGCCAAGATCGCAGCCGGCCCAGCCTTCAGCTACGCCGCACCCGAGCACTACCTCTAAGAGACACGACCTCACTCGTCGCATCTTGCCCCCACCCCATTGACGATCGACTTCAGGCTAAATTCCTTTTATTTATTTTTTTAGCAGACTTGTTCGCCACTGATTAAACTTTAGTTACGAATGTATAATGTGTAAGATGGTTTTTTTTTTTCTTCTTTTCTTCTATTTGGTCTCTTGCTCCCACTGTTTCACGGTTCCTTCGTTCCTTTGTCTTCTCAAGTCGTTCCACTTGAATCTCTCTGACTCTGAAGTTAAGAAGCTTGCAACTTGTTTGTTCCTTGCAAATTGCAAAGTGTTGTTTGTTGGTAGATTGGAGATCGCGTGACGACGATTGCGACGATTTTAGGGCGTTGCCCTATCGTGTTTTCTCTTCACTTTTGATCCCTCGTTTGCGTAAGTCGAATTACATTGTATTATTTAAGAATAGTTACTTTGCATCACAATGGGGATTCCGTTCGTTTGAATCTGCGTCTGCTGGCAAACAAGCAACTTGGTATATTTGCTATAATTGCTTCCTATGATCAGATATGTATCTATGATTTCTGATCCTAGCAATAGGAGTTTAATAATCTTCAGCGATAGCAATTTCAGTAAATTTTTAATAAATAGAGTTTTATCATTATGTATTACATGCAGTGTAATATCAATATACAACAATATTTATAAGGCAGCATAATGCGTAATATTGTAATAAAACAGTGTTATAACACAATAAGTAAGATATTTTAAACATATTTTGCAGTTTATAATATTAACATTATACAATTTACATACTTTACAATTTATAATATTGATATTATACAATTTACATACTTGACAATTTATAATATTGATATTATACAATTTACATATTTTAAAATTTATATTATTGATATTATACAATTTACATACTTTACAATTTATAATGCTAATATTATACAATTTACATATTTTAAAATTTATAATATTGATATTATACAATTTACATACTTTACAATTTATAATATTGATATTATACAATTTACATACTTTACAATTTATAATATTGATATTATACAATTTACATATTTTAAAATTTATAATATTGATATTATACAATTTACATACTTTAGACATAAGATATGCAATATTCTATATATATATATATATATATGTTACAATTTAAAATTGATGAATGTGTAAATATTATAATTATAAATTGTAAAGTATGTAAATTGTATAATATTAATATTATAAATTGTAATATTATAAATATGTAAATTGTATAATGTTAATATTATAAATATTAAGTATGTAAATTGTATAATATTAATATTATAAATATGTAAGTTGTATAATGTTAATATTATAAATATTAAGTATGTGAATTGTATAATATTAATATTATAAATATGTAAGTTGTATAATGTTAATATTATAAATCTTAAAATATGTAAATTGTATAATGTTAATATTATAAATTTTGAAGTATATATATATATGCGTGTGTGTATTCTTCAAATAGAACGACGCAACGACAAAGATAGCAAGAAAAAGTTAGATTAATATCACACGGTCACAATCCCCATTATTTCGTATGGAAAGACAGTAGCAGCGTGCTCCGTAGAATGAAGAGCGATCGCGTAACCTTGAGTACAGGGTAGCGTTTCAATTTCGCGTTGCTCGATCAACGAGTTATTTCTGGTAGCCGCCAAGACTGACCCACTTTCTCCACTTTCGTACTGTTTCTCAAACCAACCAAGCAACCCGGGTAACACCCGCCAAATTTCTACTTTTGTCCCGCGATTACTGGCTCCCGTTTTTAGAAACGAATCCACGCCCAATTCTCGTGGAAGCTAGCTCGAAGAAAATCTTTCGTCCTGTTCCTTTATTTGTCACAGCAGTATTAATCGATTAAACGATGTACGTTTGCATTGATTTGCGTTTATTTTTTACAGGTGCAGCAAATCTTTAAATTTGGAATGAAAATTGGAAGAATAACAAGAAAAAAAAAAAGAAAAGAAAAGAAAGAGAAGAGGAAAAAATGTATGTCGTAAAATGAGTTTGATTAAACGAAACGTGATTAATTGTTGCTGGAGAGACGATTGTTTTGCGAGGCGGTGAACGAAAGACGACATAAATTTCGTTATAGACGTACAGAATTTTTTTGTCTCAATCACGCGAGACGAATCCATTACCAGGGGAGAAAGGCGTCTGGAATTCCTGGCCTCGATTTAAATGGTTGCATAATGAAAAACAAAAAAGTGAACCAGAATGATAAAGCTTTTCGGCGATGGACGCGCGACGAATGTGTTCTCGAACGTTTCGGCAACATTCTGTGCGTGCCGCCAGACGTACGACACGATGGAGAAGAAATTATTTGGCAACGGAAAGAGAAAAATATATAAAGATTCAACGAGAAAGAATTCTCTCGAAAACAAAGATATATATATATATATATATATATATATATATATTTAAATTAAATTTATTTAAAAAAGAAACTAGATATTAACAAATACGTAACAAACATTTAATTTCTAAATATATATTTATCTTCCTTCTTCTACAAAAAAATAACATATACATATATATATATATATATATATCAGATCATTCACTTTTGAGGTAATTAAAATTATTAAAATTAATTAATCAACCCTGATGCAAAAGATATTTATTTACACTTAATAAGGATACTTATACAAATTTTACTTATTTATTTTTAAAAAATTCATCTCCATTACTCCATTTAAACTATTAATAATGTTATTAATTTTTCATTGTTACTAAAATATATTTTTATTATAAAACTTTATTTAATCATATTAATTCTAAATTTTATATATACAAATTTAGAATTAATAATATTATTAATTTAACTATTAATAATATTATTAATTTTTAATTGTTAATAAAATACATTTTTATTATAAAACTTTATTTAACTATATTAATTTTACATTTTATATATACAAATTTATTTGTAAAGTTTTACAATAAAAATATATTTAATAATATTATTAATTTAACTATTAATAATATTATTAATTTTTAATTGTTAATAAAATATATTTTTATTATAAAACTTTATTTAACCATATTAATTTTAAATTTTATATATACAAATTTATTTGTAAAGTTTTACAATAAAAATATATTTAATAATATATTTATATTAATGTATATTATAACATTATATATATAATAATTTAACTATTAATAATATTATTAATTTTTAATTGTTACTAAAACATATTTTTATTATAAAACTTTAACTATATTAATTTTAAATTTTATATATACAAATTTATTTGTAAAGTTTTACAATAAAAATATATTTAATAATATTATTAATTTAACTATTAATAATATCATTAATTTTTAATTGTTACTAAAATATATTTTTATTATAAAACTTTATAAATAAATTTATATATATGTATAATTTAAAATTAATATAGTGAAATAAAGTTTTGTAATAAAAATATATTTTAATAACAATTAAAAATTAATAATATTATTAATATAAATTTATATATATATATGTACACGCTTTCAAAACGATTTTTATTTTTATTTTATTCGCCAGATCACAGTTCTAAGAAACACCTCATAGATTACAAAGGAAAGCAAAAGTCAATACATCTAGTTGGTATGCGCTGTAACGTCGTAACAGATCGTTTCACAATTAATTGCGCTACGTGATTGTCATTCTTATCATCAGTGACAATTCATTCGAATGGCCAAATAAGATACGAATTGTGCAGCTTAATTGCCTTCAATGGCTATGTTATATCGCGCGTGAAAAATTGCAAAAATCCTTTCTCCATTCCAAACGACGAAATACAGGTATTCTTCTTTTTTCTTTTTTTTTTTGTAATAGTCGCGTTCATTTTCTCCTTGTAACCTTTTAATCCATAGAAGAAAGGCATACTCCAGTCACGATAGCACCTGCAGTTGTTTCTACTGTTTACGTGACTCGGTTATCAATCGTCGATTGATTGCTCGACAACGAGGTATCGGGACCGCGTGCTTTCACATTCGTTTCACAAAACAAATCCATCGAGCCATCTCCGGGTTCGAATTTTCATTAATACGATTTTAAGATTCATAAAAATACGAAGAAAGCTCGTGAAAACTCGTAGGATGTGAATTGTTCGATAATCGCAATTAGACTGGGAATCAATTAGATTTTTCTAGAGTTTGGAAATTTAGGTTCAGAAGCGAGTGAATTGATACTCGTCGAGATATCGTATAAGTGATCAATGGAATTTGATTAGATTTCAATGTTATATATATTATATTAATCGTATTGAATTTCAATCGAATTCTATTGATTACTAATAAAATATTATACATTGTATATAATATAATATTATGAATTATATATTAATATTAATATTATATTAATATTATATTATATTAATATGATATTTCAATATTACCGATTAACGTCCTTCGTAATTCACTGCCGAACCTTGAACATCGAACAGATTACAGGAATAAAAATCAAGACCAAGTGCAAAAAGATTATGAATCGTTTTTAAAGAGGCTCGAGCTTGCCCTTGAACTTTCTGAGTGCGAATTATGTGTTTAAATTTCGCTCGAACGACAGGCCGTATCTTTCATTGTGAAACTCACGCCGATACCGGACGATCCTCTCGAGTAAAATTGCGTGTCCATTCAATCATCGAGAAGATGATCAATCTCTCGTCACGCTGAGAAGCTTTCTTCTATATGTACAAAATAGCACCACGAAAATATCTGAATATTCGTGGAAATTTTCGACGAATGAACACTAAAAATTTGAAAAAAAAAAATCTATCATTTTAATACTGTAAATTTGACAAAGAACCTACAATTTTATATATTGTAAATTTGAAAAGAAAAGAATCTGCAATTTTATACACTGTAAATTTGAAAAGGAACCTACAATTTTATATACTGTAAATTTGAAAAAAGAAGCTACAATTTTATATAGTGTAAATTTGAGAAAGAATCTACAATTTTAATACTGTAAATTTGAAAAGGAATCTATAATTTTATACACTGTAAATTTGAAAAAGAATCTACAATTTTATACACTGTAAATTTGAAAAGAAATCCACAATTTTATATACTGCAAATTTGAAAAGGAACCTACAATTTTATATACTGTAAATTTGAAA